GTGTACGTACACCTGGGCTTCTGCACATTCAAATGGAGTTTCTTCGAAAAGAGAAAAAAACTAAAACAAACACATACCTGACATATTTATTAGACACGCACAGTTCATGTTGATAAAGAAAAAAGTCCCCAAAATGCATTACTTTAGCTGCAAATATACTTCCAAATTCTGCACGGAAAGTCGTGCAAATAGTCTCGCGGTGCATATCCTGTGGTGTACATACACTCGGGCGCCCACGTCTATCTATGCATGCATGTGATATTGAAATGTGAACAAAATATTTATGTTTACCGTAAGTAAATGCATATATTTATGCAGAATGCTTTTGCATATATACTTCCACTCTTTCCTCTTAATTTGATATATTTTAGCTCGTGAAAATCCACAAAAAGATGCTCCAGTTTGAATATGCCAGGTGGATATACACTTCAAATTATGCAAATGCCGCGAGTCCGCATGCACGCTTGTGTACATACACTCCACTGAAACTGCCACTTACGATATATGTAAAGATGTCTTCAAGCATATTTAAGGAAAATAAAATCAAATAAATCATTTAAATGTAATTATATATATATACATATATATATATATTATGTATATGTGCATTTATATATGCGCATGCAACGAGGGCAAACATGTACAGAAAAACAATCTGCACGCATGCACATGCACTTATATTTTCCCCTCAATTAGTCCTCCATTTCATCCTAATTGCATGCAAATAAATGCATGCAAATAAATGCATTTCTTCCGTTTATTCCATTTACACTAATTATATTTATAATCGATTAATACTCTCTTCGCAGACTCAGACAATTTTCGCGAATTTTAATTTCAAAATGAATTAAAAACAAATTGAAAAAGCCAGAAGAATAAAATAATCATTTTTGAAAAATACTTGATGCAAAAGGTTTCAAAAAAAGTCCCAAGTCGCTGCCATCAAGCTCATCTGACAAATTCAACTATCTATTTAGAATTATATTTACTTCTATTTTGTTTTGCACGCGCATGCATATGCATCTTCAAATGTACACAATAGATGCACTCTGAATGATGTATATATATATATAATATATATATATATATGTATACACGTACAATGCACATATTGAATAAATGCATATGTATATATATTTACATATACGTATAATATATACGTATATATATTGTATAAACACGTATATATGTATATAATACAGATGTATAATATATATTATATATATATAGACCAGCTAACAACATAAATGTCCACGCGTGCATCACAATACCTCACATACGCATACACATACATATACCCATATATAATAAATATATATAGATATATATAGATATATATATATATACATATATACACACATATATATATATATATGTATATATGCATACATGCAAGCATACATGGATATGCGAGTATGCACATATACACACAAGAGTACTTAGTGCACCAACAAATAAGCATATAATATGTATGTACACACACACATATATATAAACATGCGCGCATATATATATATATATGTATACAAATATAAATAAACATACATATACAACATACACATGTATACATACACACATATATAAATATACATACATATATGTGCACATATATATGCACATATATATATATATATATACATACTAATATACACACACATATATATGTGATTAGTGCATATGCATGCGCACAAGTTTCCTGAAATATTCGGATCTGCTAAAGTTTCATGTAAAGTGCCCTTAGGCAACTCCACTTGCAATTACTTGCACTAAATTTAGTATTAAATAATATTTTAGAAATAAATATATTTCCTGTTAACATATCAAATGCATTTAAATGTTCATTTCCTCTCTAAAAGGCGAAGAGAAACAGGCCTTCGGAGTGCAGTGTACGTACACCGCAACAACTGCATGCATTCCGACTCGAGTGTATCTACAACTGCACTAAATTTGGTGTTTTCTTCGAGGAAATTAAACTAAATACAAAAAAAAGGACAAATTGAATTAAATTCATTGCAAATACGGTGTATATACGGAAGAGAACTGTACATACACCGCAATAGCTCGGGGCCGCTCCACGCATTTGGGATGTACGTACACCGCAACACTAGCCGCAGCGACTCCACCCTTTTAAGAAGTCAAAAGAAAAGAATTTAACAGAAGTGAGCTGCCCAGTGTACGTACAATACAAATAACCTGCTGCTTCTCATTGCATTGTACGTACACCTCAAATATGATGCTGCTTCTGCCTCTTGCTGCAGTGTACGTACACCCCAGTAGGCTGCTGATACTTGCCCTCGCTGCAATGTACATACACCCCGACGCTGCGGAGCCGGGGAACTCCCCGGTATTCAAAAAACTGCTGCTGCTTCAAAAGCTGCTGCTTCAAATGCTGCTGCTGCTTTAAAAACTGCTGCTGCATTAAAGCTGCTGCTGTTCTATGAAGTGCTGAGTGGCTGTTAGTGCTTAAGCAGCAGCCGTGTCACTTCATTCGAGTGTACGTACACCGCACTGCAGTGTACAGACACCCCACGTGACCGTCTTTACAACTTCGGACTATTCAAATCAAAGCTTGCTGCAACGCAGTGTACATACACCTCACTTGGGCTCGAGCCCTTCAGCAGCGACGAGAACTACATTGTACTGCGGTGTACGTACACCTCGCACTTTGGAGTGTATGTACAGCTCACTGCAGCAGAAACTTCCACTAGACATTGCAAGGGAAGAGTATACCCATTCTTCGCAGTGTACGTACACCGCAAGTTCCTGGCGTCGCATGCGTACATCTCACTGCAGTGTATGTACACCCCACTGTCTACAGGCTCTACGTGCACTTCACTGCAGTGTATGTACACCCCACGTTGCTGGCGTAGGCTACACTTCATTCGATTGCAGTGTATGTACACCCCATCTAGCGGCAGAGTCCACTTCACTGCAGTGGGTGTAAGCGTACACTCCATCGTACTCCAGTGTATGTACACCTCACGTTACTGGTGTAGACGTACACTCCACGTGGCTGCGGTGTATGTACACCTCACGGGTCGGGTACACTGCATTGCACTCCGGTGTATGTACACTGCGAGTAGCCACGGGCCATTGTATTCGAGTGTACGTACACAGCTCCATCCACTGCGCAGTGTATGCACACCTCAACTTGCGTGCAGTGTATGTACACGTCACTGGCGCGCAGTGTACGTTCACCCGAATTCGCGCATCTTCCACTTCTCCGGTCTTGAGCAAGGGGCGCACGCGAAGCCGATCATTGGATCCATTTCATTTCATTTTCATTTATATCATTTTATTTTATTTTATAAAAAAAATTAGTCAAATATTACGGACGCCAAATTCAAGTCCTCGGTCCACGTACACCGCGACGGCAACTTCGAGACGCGATTGACGGCCAAAATATTGAATGATGAAATAATGATCAAGATATGATAATAATGACGATAATAATGATAATAATGACGATAATAATAATAATAATAATAATAATGATAATAATGATAGGATTATGAGACAGTAGCAATGAGACGTAACGCGCGGGCGTCGTAGAGGTGCATGTACACCGGAGGAGGTGCATGTACACCGCAGAGGCGCAAGATATTTTTACAAAAATAATAATAAAATAAAACTAAAAAGAGAGAACTAAAGGGAGTACGAAGAGCAGAGACAATTGGAAATAATAATATTCGAAATAATAATAAAATGGCAGCACTAGTTCTACCGCTACAGGCACTGCAACAAGCGCGGTGTACGTACACCTCAGGCCCCACTACACAACTAGACGCTAAACCAACGAAATAAAATAAGACAACTAAATAAATAATAATAAATCAAAGCAGAATAAACAGAAATAAGAAGCGCCACACCTCACGGTCTCCCACGCATGCAGCCCCAAGAACAAACAAAGAAGCAAGAAGGCACCGCAGGCAACCCAACAGCAACAGCAGCAGCAGCAGCAGCAGCAGAGCAGCCACATACAGACGCCACGAGACCACCACTGCGCCGGCTGTACGTAGACCGATCGCGCGGATGCTGGTGCCAACAAAACCCTTTGGAATCCTTGAACCATTCTCCGAAGCCCACAAGAATTCAATAAACGCAATCCCTTCTCCGAAACCATTAAATCACTTCTCGAGAACCACTGAATTAAATCGCAAAAGACCTCCGAGACAAGCTCTCGCCGCGCCAAAACGAACTCTGGGGTGTATGTACACTCGACACAGCACAGCACGGGCCGCCACCCTCGCTCACGAGCGCCGTCCGCCCGCGCGCCCGCGGCGGCGAACCCTAAACCCTAAACCCTAAGCCCTAAGCCCTAAACGCTAAACCCTAAACCCCAGCCGTCAGTAGGGGGCGAAGCGCTGCTGCTGGGGGCCCCCGGGGCCCCCGAAGCCGCCGTGCGCGCCGGAGTACCCCGCGGGGGTCTGGGCGGCGTAGGCGGGGCCCGCCCACTGCTGGTCGCGGGGGGCCCCCTGGGGGCCCCCCTGG